CAGCTATCACAACCAACATAATTCTTTGCCGATTGGTAGTAATATAAGGGCTATGATACACTACCCAGCTATCACAACCAATCACAACCAACATAATTCTCTACTGATTGATAGTGATGTAGAGGGTATGATACACTAGCAAACTATAACAAGCAATCACAACCAACATAATCCTCTATTTATTGCTAGTTATATTATGGATGTGATACACCGGCCAACTATCACAACCAATCACAACCAACATAATCTTCTACTGATTGATAGTGACGTAAAGGGTATGATACAATAGCCAACTATCACAAGCAATCACAACCAACATAATCCTCTACTGATTGGTAGTGATATAAGTACTATGGTACACTAGCCAACATAATCCTATACTGATTGGTAAAAATATAATGGAAATGATACACTAGCAAACTATAACAAGCAATCACAACCAACATATTCCTCTATTTATTGCTAGTTATATTATCGATGTGATACACCGGCCAACTATTACAACCAATCACAACCAACATAATCTACTACTGATTGATAGTGGCGTTAAGGGTATGATACACTAACCAACTATCACAAGCTATCACAACCAACATAATCTTCTACTGATTGATAGTGACGTAAAGGGTATGAAACACTAGCCAACTATCACAAGCAATCACAACCAACATAATCCTCTACTGATTATTAGTGATATAAGGACTATGGTACACTAGCCAACATAATCCTTTACTGATTGGTAGAAATATAATAGATATGATACACTAGCAAACTATAACAAGCAATCACAACCAACATAATCCTCTATTTATTGCTAGTTACATTATGGATGTGTTACACCGGCCAACTATCACAACCAATCACAACCAACATAATCTTCTACTGATTGATAGTGACATTAAGGGTATGATACACTAGCCAACTATCACAAGCAATCACAACCAACATAATCCTCTAATGATTGGTAGCGATATAATATCAATGATACACTAGCCAACTATCACAAGTTATTACAACCAACATATGCTCTATTGATTGCTAGTAATATAAGGGATATGATACACTAGCCCAATATCACAAGCAATCACAACCAACATAATTCTCTACTGATTGGTAGTGATATAATGTCAATGAAACACTAGCCAGCTATCACAACCAACACAATTCTTTACCGATTGGTAGTGATATAAGGGCTATGATACACTACCCAGCTATCACAACCAACATAATTCTCTACTGATTGATAGTGACGTAAAGGTTATGATACACTAGCCAACTATCACAATCAATCACAACCAACAGAACTCTTTATTGATTAGTAGTGATATTAGGACTATGGTACACTAGCCAACATAATCCTATACTGATTGGTAGAAATATAATGGAAATGATACACTGGCAAACTATAACAAGCAATCACAACCAACATAATCCTCTATTTATTGCTAGTTATATTATGGATGTGATACACCGGCCAACTATCACAACCAATCACAACCAACATAATCTACTACTGATTGATAGTGACGTAAAGGGTATGATACACTAGCCAACTATCACAAGCAATCACAACCAACATAATCCTCTATTTATTGCTAGTTATATAATGGATGTGATACACCAGCCAACTATCACAACCAACATAATCTACTACTGATTGACAGTGACGTAAAGGGTATGATACACTAGCCAATTATCACAAGCAATCACAACCAACATAATCCTCTTATTGATTGCTAGTGACGTAAAGATTATGATACACTAGCCAACTATCACAAGCAATCACAACCAACAGAACCCTTTACTGATTACTAGTGATATAAGGACTATTGTACACTAGCCAACATAATCCTATACTGATTGGTAGAAATATTATGGAAATGATACAGTAGCAAACTATAACAAGAAATCACAACCAACATAATCCTCTATTTATTGCTTGTTATGTTATGGATGTGATACACCGGCCAACTATCACAACCAATCACAACCAACATAATCTTCTACTGACTGATAGTGACGTAAAGGGTATGATACACTAGCCAACTATCACAAGCAATTACAACCAACATAATCCTCTTTTTATTGCTAGTTATATAATGGATGTGATACACTGGCCAACTATCGAAACCATTCACAACCAACATAATCTTCTACTGATTGCTAGTGACGTAAAGATTATGATACACTAGCCAACTATCACAAGCAATCACAACCAACAGAACCCTTTACTGATTACTAGTGATATAAGGACTATTGTACACTAGCCAACATAATCCTATACTGATTGGTAGAAATATTATGGAAATGATACACTAGCAAACTATAACAAGAAATCACAACCAACATAATCCTCTATTTATTGCTTGTTATATTATGGATGTGATACACCGGCCAACTATCACAACCAATCACAACCAACATAATCTTCTACTGATTGATAGTGACGTAAAGGGTATGATACACTAGCCAACTATCACAAGCAATTACAACCAACATAATCCTCTTTTTATTGCTAGTTATATAATGGATGTGATACACTGGCCAATTATCGAAACCATTCACAACCAACATAATCTTCTACTGATTGATAGTGGCGTAAAGGGTATGATACACTAACCAACAATCACAAGCAATCACAACCAACATAATCTTCTACTGATTGATAGTGACGTAAAGGGTATGATACACTAGCAAATTATCACAAGCAATCACAACCAACATAATCCTCTACCGATTGGTAGTGATATAAGGGCTATGATAAACTACCCAGCTATCACAACCAACATATTCTTCTACTGATTGATAGTGACGTAAAGGGTATGATACATTAGCCAACTATCACAAGCAATCACAACCAACATAATCCTCTACCGATTGGTAGTAATATAAGGGCTGTGATACACCGGCCAACTATCAAAACCATTCACAACCAACTTAATCTACTACTGAATGATAGTGACGTAAAGGGTATGATACAATAACCAACTATCACAAGCAATCACAACCAACATAATCTTCTACTGATTGATAGTGACGTAAAGGGTATGATACACTAGCCAATTATCACAAGCAATCACAACCAATATAATCCTCTACTGATTGGTAGTGATATAAGGACTATGGTACACTATCAAATATAATCCTATACTGATTGGTAGAAATATAATGGATATGATACACAAGCAAACTATAAAAAGCAATCACAACCAACATAATCCTCTATTTATTGTTAGTTATATCATGGATGTAATACAACGGCTAACAATCACAACCAATATAATCTACTACTGTTTGATAGTGACGTAAAGGGTATGATACACTAGCCAACTATCACAAGCAATCACAGCCAACATAATCTTCTACTTATTGATAGTGACGTAAAGGGTATGATACACTAGCCAACTATCACAAGCAATCACAACCAACATAATCCTCTACTGATTCGTAGTGATATAAGGGATATGATACACTATCCAGCTATCACAACCAACATAATCTTCTACTTATTGATAGTGACGTAAAGGGTATGATACACTAGCCAACTATCACAAGCAATCACAGCCAACATAATCTTCTACTGATTGATAATGATGTTAAGGTTATGATACACTAGCCAACTATCACAAGCAATCACAGCCAACATAATCTTCTACTTATTGATAGTGACGTAAAGGGTATGATACACTAGCCAACTATCACAAGCAATCACAGCCAACATAATCTTCTACTGATTGATAATGATGTTAAGGTTACGATATACTAGCCAACTATCACAAGCAATCACAACCAACATATTCCTCTACCGATTGGTAGTGATATAAGGGATATGATACACTATCCAGCTATCACAACCAATCACAATCAATAGAACCCTCTACTGATTGTTATTGATATAAGGACTATGGTACACTAGCCAACATAATCCTATACTGATATGTGTAAATATAATGGAAATGATACACTAGCAAACTATAAAAAGCAATCACAACCAAAATAATCCTCTATTTATTGCTAATTATATTATGGATGTGATACATCGGCTAACTATCACAACCAATATAATCTACTACTATTTGATCACAACCAACATAATCCTCTACTGATTGGTAGTGATATAATGGCAATGATACACTAACCAACATAATCCTCTACTGATTGGTTGAAATATAAAGGTATGATACACTAGCCAACTATCACAACCAACATAATCCTCTACTGATTGGTAGTTATATAAAGGGTATGATACACAAGCCACATATCACTACCAATCACCACCAACATACTTCTCTACTGATTGGTAGTGATATAAAGGGTAAGATACACTTACCAACAACAAATTTGTATCACAATCAATACCCACCAACATAATGCTCTACTGATTGGTAGTGATATAAAGGGTATGATACACTGGCCAACTATCACAACCAATCACCACAAACATAATTCTCTACTGATTGGTAGTGATATAATGTCAATGATATACTAGCCAGCTATCACAACCAACATAATTCTCTACTGATTGGTAGTGATATAATGTCAATGATATACTAGCCAGCTATTACAACCAACATTACCCTCTGCTGATTTGTAGTGATATAATGTCAATGATATACAAGCCAGCAATCACAACCAACATAATTCTCTACTGATTGGTAGTGATATAATTGCTATGGTAAACTAGCCAACTACCACAACCAACCACAACCAACATTATTCTCTACTGATTGGTAGTGATATAATGTCAATGATATACTAGCCAGCTATATCAACCAACATAACCCTCTACTGATTGGTAGTGATATAAATTTTTGAATGCATGTATCATTATGGGAACACCTGAGGGCTATGGTAAACTTTTGAACATGACCTTCAATGTACACTTTTCTTCCTTGTCTATGGAACAATTTCAAGAAGTGGTTTATAATCATACATATAATGGTTTACTTTTACAAATTGTGACTTGGATGGAGAGAGTAAAGAGATGATAAAAGAATACATTAATGATTGATATAATTTATTGCTAATATTTACAAATGATGAATTCATACTCAGATGTACATTAATTAAAATGAGAAACTAAGATAAAACTGGAATACAGATATCACAATAAAATATTTCATGACTGAAAGCACAGCTCTCATGTAAATAAAAAATCTCAACTTATAAAACAGAAGTTATGATAATGGATAATGAACACTTTTGTGTTTCAACGCAATTAAACATGACACAGCCATTATAGAATAACATCTTTCAATAAAACAGAAATAAAGTATGTTTATATATCTATATTTATATGCTTAAGATCAAAAGAAACACAACACTATTTTATTGTTTAACACTGATATTATGAAAACCTTGAAATAAAATAAGACTGAATGGTATTGATTGTTCAATAAAGTAAAAATATAAAGAAAACTTGATAAGCAAGACAATGCTTAAATTCAAAAATTAGTGTTTACTGGACAGAAATAAAAACAATTGAGGATAAGAAAACGTGATGCACTGAACTTCACAACTGTCAATATTTGAAAAAAATAAAGTATTGAAATTCTTAAAATTGCAAAATTAACATGCCATAATTCTAAAAAACTGTTGGTTCCTTCAAATGATTATGAGAGTGTTGTATTCCACTTGCTGATCATCAGACTGAAAACCCTCAATTTTAAGGACAAAGATCTTGCCCTGTTTGAAACTTTTCCTCCATATTCACGAAATTCAGTTAATATGAGCAAACTGAGCATACACCAAAATGACACAAAACAACAAGGATATCTTGAGGCGGTCTTTCTTTTCAAACATTCATGAAACTCTGGTTAAGTATCAATTTTTAAAGGAAATGCACATTGAAATCTTTGTGATCAGAAATCTCTATTTCAGAAATTCCATTATAATTTGTTTTCTATGCCATTTATTAAACTGGATAAATATCACAAAAATTTTGTCACTTAGCCATTATTTTAAACATGGTTAGCCATTTTATCCAGTATCTCTGATATTTAAGTGTAGTTCATTACCAAATCTACAGTTCCTGAACTTGATATACATTTTGTTTTGACAGTATTTGGGGATTTTCTGTTTTACATAGACTTTCAGTATTTTCTATCTATGTATCCCTTATCTGCAAAACCTGAGAATAGATTTCAGAGAATTTGTTTACAGAATGTGCATTACACTATATAATTGTGTATCTCTTACTTCATTTTTCTATAAGAACGATTTTTGGGATATCCCAAACGAAAATTCTAATCAAATCAGGTCTCTTTAATGGTTGAACTGTCAAAAACAGCAATTTTAAGTCATAAATGAAAAAACTTCAATGTAAATAAATAGTTTATGCGACAAACTGGAACAACATACCAAATACCTGAAGATGAATGGTGATATAAAAAGAAATTTATACTAAAAAGATTGCTATGAGCTTATACATAACAAAGAGGTGAGTGTCATCTTCATGGGATTATACACAAATTTGGATGAAAAATAGTTAATGAATTGTGCTCCAATCCCCCATTTCTATTGTCTAACAATAAGTTACTAAGTCACAAGACTAATTGTAAAATGTTCCTACCATTGTTTTCCTAATTGTCATTGTCCTGACAACATATGTATTTCAAATAACCAGGATTTAAACAACATTACAATGTCCTTACTACATCTAAAGACAATAAAACATTTAATATATTGATACTTAGTCACTACTTTATAATAACAGTAACAGTTTTATCAGTCATTTTAATATTAAACAAGATGATAGTGTTATATATTTTTTTTATCTTTGACAACCACTTGTAATAGATTAACATTGTTTTATGTGACAAATGCAAAAACACCACATATTAATATGATAATTTTACAAAAGATTTGAAAGTATTATCATTTTAGAGTACCAATTTTAATGGATATTAAAGTTGATTAAAACCACAACAGTTACTATCCAATTAAAAGCCAAGTTTGCATTGACTTGACCTGTGCTGAGTATAAAGCCTTGAATTTAAGAATATAACCTTGAAATTAATTATCAGGTATCCACAGATACTGGCATTCATCAATAAGCATATTTACACAGTATAAGGAAAGATTTATAATTTAATTGAACACATATATATTACTTATGGGGTGAAAACCCGTAGCTTTCTTTGACTGGTAGTTATAATTCATAGGTTTTAACATTTGCATAATCAACAGTTTGGCACATTAATACACAACATATCTACACAAAAATGGTAAACAACATGTTTGGTTTCAAAAAGCTGTGCAAGAAAAAGACAATTTTTGTTCCAAAGAAGCTTTGCTTTGATGCTCACTGAAAATTTGAACGACATCTAGCAGTGTCACTGTAATTCCTTTATGAATATTTTTGGATAAATGATATAATCAGTTAATGATTGTTACTGTTTTTGGCCAATACAAACAATAGTGGTTGAAATGTACTGGTTGTAATGTAAACAAGCTCACTGATAACAAAAACAACACACATCCTAACCTCGTATACAACAATTAATAATCAATATTGCACGTGTGGCAGCACGGGTGGGAATTTATTGGTCCACTTATGATAGGATACAGATTTCAGCTTCCCCAAGCATTTGTATCATCAAACTGAAATACCAATTTAAGAAATCAATGGTTAAAATACAGTATTAAATATTACGTCGCAGTACCCAAATTGCACCTATTCAACAAAAATCACAGCTGAAATCTTACAAGTTTTCTTTGAGACTAAATAATTTGTATTTTTATGATATGACATTATACAAATCTTTCAACATAGGTAAATATATTTAAATATACACAAAACGTTCACAGTATATATCAACAGACGAAGCATTCTCTGGAAAAAGTAAATCTACGAAAACATCGCCATGCGACGTTCACAAAAAGTCATCTTTTAAAAATGAGCAAATCAAATATGTTACAAGCATTCATTTCTTAAAAAATGAATAGTAAGCATGGACTAATGTCAAATTGTTCTTAACATTTGAAGAAATAAAACAAAACATCTGTTATTAGATTTTTAAGGATGTGAATTTAAGCATGGAGGCAATTTGGGTACTCCTCATTACAAAATCATGGATCGTTTGGAGGTCGGTTCAAACCCATTTTTCTATGATTCAATATGGATTCAAAATCAAATTGGTGGAACCATATAGAAAATAATGACACATCTACAAAATAAACACAGAATGGAAACTTTTGTCTGCATCATAAATAAATGTAGGTGAAAAAACTGTCAAAATAGGTGCAATTTGGGTACCGTCACGTTATACTCATTGTATTAAATAAATATCTTTCAGTTTCCCATCATTATGAGTAATAAGTTCAATGCTGTGTCAATGTTTACAATGTAAATACTCAAGTTACTTTGTAATAATTTTTTGAAGCAGTGAAATTCCTATTTCAGCATTGTAGATACCAGGTAAAAGTTTATGTCAACTTGTGACCTTATATATAAGACATGAGGTTTATCTGTTTCTTCTTATTCTCATCCGTTAAATTTTTTCAATGCCAGCTAATTCTTTTTAATAATCCATTTGTGTTATGCTTATTTTCTCAGATCGTCATTGGTAGGCATTGGAATATGACATCAAATTTTATTTGCTTTCTCTAAATTTATTATTGTGACACCATGGAAAAAGGTGATCATGTCGGATGATGTCACAGAGAATGAACAATCTTTTGCAGATTGTCCGAAAAGATCCTTAAAGTAAGCTTATACAATCATATTGTCAAAAACATAAGAGAAGAACATATAACATTTTGATTGAATGTGGTTTGGTATGGCGGGTGATGCATGCAAAGCAGGAGGCACTTACTCTGTCCATTCACTGGTCTCGATGCATTTGGATTTCATGAGATTCCCTCAGCCTCTAGTGTTTTATGGTGCTTATTTATAAATTTTGATTTGAATTATCATAATTCATGAGATTTGAATTTCTGTAAACTACTGTCACCTTCAATCTATTACTGCATTTTGTACAATACAAGTTTTTTCTTTTGACATATAAATTCAAAATATTAAAAAAAACTTTGCACTTTGAATTTGGATGAAAATTAATTTGTCTGTATTGTAGAAATATTTGTTTCTCACTTCATACAGTAATAGTATAAATATTTCATTTGGTAATTTAAATCAGTTGTGGTAACAATACTCATACAAATTCTGGTACTTACTTTATAACTAATTGATAGTATATGTTAAACATTATTTCTTCTCATTATCTCTAAGCAAGAAGTCAAATAGCAGAGATGCTGCATGGGCGATTATTAAAAAAAAAAAAAAAACTATGATTTTTTTGTACTTACTTTTCCAGGACTAAAATCAGCAAAATTAGCAAACTGATCATTTCCTGTTGACTTTGGTGCCCCTGATCCAGAAAATGGATCAGACCCAGCAAATGGATCATTCCATGCAGCTGATGCTGCTTTAATTGGATTAGGACTAGTTCCTCTAGGAGGTGCAGGTCGTGGGGGTGGTTTCTTTTTCTCTTTGGAAAATGAAGCAGGTGATGGGGAACTTTTTTTAGATGGGGATGATGACTTAGGTGCAAATGGATCAGCATCTGCAAACAATGAGCCTGGTTTCTAGAAATAAAAAGAAAACAAAAAATTGAATTTATGAGGTCGTCTATTCATAATAAAATTTCTACTCAACTTATATTCTTCTATCACAACAGATATTATTTATCTCAACAAAGCATTATCTTAAACTGCTAAAAGACTTTATAGAGGAAACAGATTTGTTTATAAGCTATCTTTTCCATACTACAAAGGTTAAAACCCTCTACGAACAGTAAGCTTGTATTGTATTTGTAACAAATTGTAAGTTTTGAGAATTTTTGACGCCTGGAATCAATTTGGAATAGTTTATTATATCTGTAGATCAAATTTGAATATAACTAGAGCACAAAAAAAATGTTTCTCAAAATTTTTGATTTTTTTTTTATCAAAAACTAATGTTTTTTAACCAAAACTTGTTATTCAAATTTAACAAAATCGAATTTGACCTTCTTTCCTTTAATAGGTATTAACACTGTGCATACAAATTTTGGAAATCAGAGGAGGGAATTTTGACTTGTCGTACGACGTAGAAGTGCTGGCAGACAGATTTTTTTATATAAGGCACTGCCATCTAGTACACAGATAGTTTTGGTCATATAGTAGAAGAACTTATCTGGCAATTAATAATTCATTAACTAAAACTTACAGATGGTTTACCACTTCCTCCAAAAGGATCAAAAGAATCATTGGCTTTTTTACTACTTGACGATGATGTTGATGAAAAAGAACCACTAAATGGGTCCACATTACCAAATGGATCACTCTGAAAAAGATTAAACATTACCATAAATATGATACTGTTTTGGAATCTAAATCTGTATAAAATTAGGTAACAATCAAGGCAAAATGATAACAAAAAATTTATAAAATTGGAGATAAGAAAATTAAAAAAAAAATAGAACTCAACAGAGCCTGACCTCTGTAACAACCTTGAAAATAGCCATCTTCAACCCCAAACAGACTCTAAGGCTCCTTGGTTATAACAAGTTTATACAAAAGATTCATCTCACACTGTAAACCAACTAATTTTTGTGAGTGATTTAGTTATGCCACTTTCATAAGTAGAAATATAATGTGAGAAAGTCAACCGTGGGTCTTCCCTTATATGAATACACCAACAAAGCTACAATCATAAAAAATAAATTTCCCAAAACTCAAGTAGAAAAGTCTAAACACACAAAAAAAAAGTATCAATGAAAAAAATTTGGGTTTATAGTTTTCTCAAATAATAGTTGTACAATGCTGTCAGTGATAAAATTTTACTATTATTTCTTATTTCATTTTTTTTTTAAAAAACGTAACACATGTTGAACTGCATTTGTAATCATGGTAAAAAAATTGCTACAATTAAAAAGAAAGATAATGAAAGTCCACCTTCAGGCATTCACAGTAATCCGGTATTGCTACAAACCTTTCATCATTAACCATTTTTTATATACTATCTCAGTCCTGGCTGAAGAAATCAAAATACAAAACTTTTCTCTTTTGACAGATAAATCAACTTTAATCTAATATATTGTTTTTGTTGACTGACTAAATTTTAATAGGATAAAAATGTTTTTCATTTATCAAAAACCTGATAATTACCTTACTGGAAGTTGATGTATCACCAAATGAACTTTTAAAAGGATCTTCAGCTCCAAATGGATCTGAAGAAAATCCATTACCTTTAAATGGATCACCTGAAAATAGAATAGAGCTGTGTAAGTTGTGCTTCCTAATAGTATAATACATAATTGAAACAGTGTAATACGATACATTTACAAGTAATTTTTAAACTAGAGGTTGGAGCCTGTATGGCTAACCTGTCATTTTTGCATAAAAATGATTCAATGCAATAAGAATATTTCTGATTGTCTCAGACGAAAAATGCAAAATTATAGGTTTAAAATTTATTTTTTCAATGATAATTAATTACTCCTTCCAGAGTCAACCAGAATTTGGCCACTTGACTTTTTTGTAGATCATGTCCATCTTATAATTTTTGCTTTTTTACAGTTTCTATCAACTATACTTTCTGCAAAAAATCAAAACAAAAATGGGTAAAAATAAAAATTGGCATTCAAGGGAAATAACAAGCATAAGGAGTAATTGACTATTTCATCCAGGTGAGCTTAAAAATGGGTAAACATGGGAAAAAATTATTAAACCAGGCACCAAAACTTATAACAGACTCAAATCTTTACATTTTTAATTCCCATCACCTTATTATTTGTCTTACCTGGTGTGTTGATATCACCTATGCCATATTCTTTAATATACAATTTTAAATTCATTTATTATATTTTTTTTTTCTGAAGTGAATTTTTTTATCTGGATAAAAAGTATGCTGGTCATTTCATTTTCCATTTGGTAACTTTTAAATTCATGGTTACAATTTTTGAGTTTTGTCCTCTATACACCCTTCAACTTCATTAAATTTCCCTTATTCCACACAAGACTTCTCATGAACTTTCTAATTTTAAACAAAATATTTCCACAAAATTTGTGATCTCTTGTTTGGTTGCAATTATTTTAATGTGATTAAAATTTTTCCTGCATTTCAAATAAGTGTGACTGAAAATAAATAGATGACTCACTTTCTTTAAATGGATCTTCACTCTGGAATGGATCAGCCTGAACAGTACTTCCTCCACCAAAAGGATCTTTGTGCTTAAATGGATCATCTTTAAAATCCTCTAATCCGGAACCTGCACTAAAACCACTTATAGTACTATGTGGACTTCCAAGCTAAAATATATACAGAGACAGTTCAGAAATGCTGCTGCTGATGACTGATTTAAAGATAAATATTGGTAGTCAATTTGTAAAGCAGAGGAGTATAAAATTAAGGAGATGTGGTATGATTACCAATGAGACAACTATCCACTAAAGTTCAAATGAAGTGGATGTAAGCAATTATAGGCAACTGTATGGCCTTCAACAATGAGAAAAACCCATACTGTATAGTCAGCTATAAAAGGTCCTGACATGAAAAATATGAAAAATAGTTAATTGAGAAAACTAACGGCCTAATTTATAACAAAACAATTTACGAAAAACAAATATGACAGACATGAACCAACGACAAGCACTGAACTACAGGCTCCTGCATGACTTGGGACGGGCAAATAAAGGATGTGGCGGGGTTAAACATGTTTGTGAGTGCTCTGAGTATACTCAACTAATCATCAACCTGTGAAGCAAATATTCCAGACACTTCACCATTAACACAACATATAAATATATGTACTATTTTTTGTTTACAATTTCTCTTAAATCTCAAAAAGAATTTCAATTAGAACTTAGCAGCTGGAATTATGCTTCATCTTTTAAGAAAATTAATCTTTTATTTCAAATTTGTTTAAGAGTCTACGAAAAGCAAGTAAATTAACGATGTTACATTATGCTAGGATATATTTGGTTTCACTGGTAAGATAATTATTTTCACATGTATGAAGCAGAAAATTTTTTTTATATGACTTGGTGAATAATGATTGAATGGGTAAAGAAGAACAGTTGGTCTCCTTTGTCAAATTGTCATACACAGGTAACTTTTCCATCCTTGTTGTAATATGGTACAGTTGTAATGCCAAGGATAAGTTACACCAAACCTAGTTTTGATTTAGAATCCTAATTCCTTAGACTTATATATTGGAAGGTATGGAAACTTACTGTAGCTTGTGTACTCATGTTATCATCAATCTGTGAAGCAAATATGCCTGACACTTCACCATTAATACTAGCTGATCCTGATTGGGCTCCTCTAAGTTTATCTTCCAAATGCTGTACTTTAATTTTTTCCTGATTTAAAAAAACAAAACATATCACAATAAATCATAATAGTAACAGCAACTTGCTGTCTTTTGATTCCTTTTCCTCTCAACATCTAACTTTAGCTGCTTAAATTCAACATCACTGACTTGGTATTAACTGTTGTGTTCTCATGCACATGACATATCAATAGAAAATATTTTGTCAATTGTCATTGCTGAAGGGAGATTACTCTATTGGTATTTATAAAAACCATGTATTGCACTTAGTGTACAAAAAAAGGATGCAAACTATTTCAAGAAACTGTTAGGGGAAATTATTGGGTCCCCATTCCATATCCTGTTTTAATTTCAGATGATCTCCTTTACCAGATTTACTTGCTGTTGTATATCTTGTTTTGATCTCTTGTGAACAGCTGGTTTTTTTATTACTAGATACTCAGTGCACTCTGAGGCAAAATAGTATATGTTCTTTAGCCCTAAAGGAACTTTTAAGTCTTTTCTACCCTGTGACGAGACATATATTTTTAAATGAAGAATTGATAGGCAAGGGAGATAGTACAAATTGTGTTAAGAAAAGCAACCGTAACCTATATCTTTTTTTCTAGCATGGTTTCCTTCTAGAAATCAACTTTCTAAAGTCTGTATCTGGAAAAAGGCTACTACTGTTGCCTATTGGCAAAATAATGATATTTTGCAATCATTATCCTGTCTTGATTTCTTTCTTACCTGATTGACTTGCTCTTGTATTTTAGATTGTCTCCCTTACCTGATTTACTTGCTGTTGTATTTTAGATTGTCTCCCTTACCTGATTGACTTGCTGTTGTATTTTAGATAGTCTCCCTTACCTGATTGACTTGCTGTTGTATTTTAGATTGTCTCCCTTACCTGATTTACTTGCTGTTGTATATCTTGTTTTGATTTAGCAAACAGTTGTATCTGTTGTTTACCACCATCAATGTTTTGCTCTAATTTCTTTTCTTCTTCTCTCAAGGTGTTTAATTCTATTTTTAATTTATTAAGTTCTTCTTCTTGATTCTAAAAGAAAGCATTCATATCTAATAAATTTACATGTTTTGAAATACAAAATACCACGTTTATGCTATTCTAATCACTTACTGTTAATCTCCTTGCAGAATCAATATTATTTTTCTATAATCAGTACTTCATCTCACTGAATAAAGATGACCATATAAACTTGTATCTCATATAAAGGCAAAGGGATGCTTAGAAAAATTACCTGTTGAAGCCTGACCATGCTTAAAATTTATTTTTTATTGTAACATGTGAACCATGACATATTGGACACTTGACCTTTGTCTTATGTAACACTATCAGTCTCTCAAAGGTGCCCCTGCCAACAAATTTATATGAGTGTATGTCAATCAGTTTCTGAAATCTGGCTATGTAAGCAGATTAGACAAGAAGGGTTCTTCAATTGTCCCCTCGTCATGAATGAGGGGAAATTAAATTGCCATTGTAATATTTTTTTTTGTGGTGTGAATTGAAGAAAATTGAACATTGATAAAGTTGAAGCACAACAAACACAATATATATATGAAACAGGTGAGAAAAGCTGTCCAACATATATGTTTCTACCCATTTCTATTGATCTTATACTTTTTATATTTATATAAGGAAGGTAGTTTAATAAATTGTCTCTAAATGTGGTTATTTCAATTCTAGTATTTTATGGTAAATTAAAAGGGAAGTAACTCAAATCTAAATTTAAATACCTTCATGAAAAGATCTTGATTGTCAATCTGTGATTTTAAATTGTATATTTCTTTTTCTTCTTTATCACATTTCTCTTTCATATCTGATACATTTGCCATTAAATCTGATTTCTGAAATTAAAACACATCATCTTAAAGATATATCCAAAAGTCCATCTATCTAGTTATAAAGCAAGTTATAATTAAAAGAAAATTGTATCCAAATAATAAAAAAATATCATGCAATCATATATTGTGCAGGGTACTGATATTATACATTCATTAGGTTAGATTACTTTAGATATATATTCATAAAACAATCTTTGCAAAGCAAAAGGCAAGCCAACTAAAAGATTTTGTTGTTCAAACTGTTTCTGCAAGGCAATAAAAAATTATGTCTGTTTCCTGCCTCACAAACGACTTAAGATTTGATCCAAGACCCAAAACATTTTTATTGCCATGTGGATACTAACATTATGAAATAAAGTTTGTAATGTTAGAGTCGCTAATACATCTTATTTCTGCTGACTTGTTTTATTTTCAAATTTTTATAAAATCGATTAAAATGTGTCATATCATTTGAAACAGCAAAATGTTTTGAATGCACAAATTACAGGATGTGAAGTGTAAATCCGGACTGGACTTGAGAAAGAATGTGATTTTTTGGATTTTGTTATGAAAGTATAAAATAAAAAGTTTAGAAAAAAAAGAGTTCATTTCTACAGTTCACAATTCTCAGCTGTATTTTTTTTTATATTACTTTAGATCTACTCTTGTTGATTTGTTTAAGAAGAAACTCTATATCCATGGCATTACTCTGTGAACTTATATAAGAATGGTAAGTAACAGAAAAAAGTTCTAAATATTTTGAAAACGTAGCATAAAACAAGTCTGCATGATTAGAAACCTCATATGTAACACTAAAGAAGATGGGAATTACCGGTAATGTTAATTTACAATCTTATAAAAGCCAAGTTTGCCTGAAGAAACATAAAAGACAGACCTTTTCATCTAGTTCATCAAGACATTTCTGAGCTTCTTTCTTTTGATTTTCTAGCTGTTGTAATGTTGCCATAATACTGTCTAATTCTTTCTGTAACATCTGAACTTCTCCGTTACTTATCTTTATATCAGCCTCAGTCTGTAAGTCATCTCTTTCTAAGTTTAACTTCTCCCTGTATCATAGATATGTTAAATGCTAATATTCTTTTGATAAGATTGAATACTTTATATAGCTACAAAATTTAGAGAATTTGTAAATTCAGAAATTTTTGCATGAATTTATTATTGTGATTGTGGGCAATGGACAAATATGCCAGATTTATTATTGCAATTTTAGAAAATGCTGCATAAAAATATTACTATCAAATTTAAAATGCAAGGTTTTATTTTTGTGAATCCCATCCCCGCACAATTTTGGCATTCATAAAAACATTGCAAGTCTGCATATTCTAAGCTTCTAGGTAACACATTGTTTGACTTCTGTTTCACATGAGTGCTTAAAAAGCATTGATGAAACTGGCTATTAAAAATACATTACTTATCTATAGAGTCATCTCCCTAAAACCAGATTCCGGTAACCTCTCAATACCAAATGATTCAACATCAAAAGCTGGAATTCTTAAATAATTTTGATATAAATGTGAAGACAAACTCCAAATTTGATTACTAGGTAGAAGTCATATCATTACAACATATCTAAATGCATACACAAAATACAGGATTCCTGGTTAAAAAGTGATATACATTTGGCTCAAATCGAATCAGCAGTTGCAGAAGTGGATTTATGATATTTCATTATATGGGGAAATCTTTCAATATATTTCAACGTAACAACTATCAATGCAGAAATCAAATACAACTATGGTACATAAAGAAAAGGTGATTTAAGTTGAGCTAAGATATTTTCAGAGGCTTATCAGGAAGTATGGATTAAAGAATCTTATAGACCTGACATACTAGTAAATTGTTTTAAGTGCTTCATATATCTCATCTTAACTTTAGTTTTAAAATAATCGGTAAAGGATATTTGCATATAAATTCTGATTGTAAAGGGACATAATTCTCCCACTTCTATTTTTAGATTAGGGAAATTTTATCTTTTAAACAGCTGATATAAGTTAAGTAAAGGATTTTCCATTTATCAATATTTATTTAAATGTCACAAAGGATCTTGAACTAGGAAAAAGTTGATAAATAAAATTCACAATTTCCATATTAAAGGCATTATTGATAAGGCTGCTTTTGCCAAACAAATTAAATCTTTTAACTCATTGTTGATTTACCAATTATGATGCATTGTTGGCAGGTTACATTATTGTTTAAGTCCCCAATTGTTCCCTACTTTTATGTCAAAAGTTATTACTGATCAGTAGTAAGTCCTGAGAAAGCCCCTTATCTTAAAATAGATGAGTGTTGTGTCAGCAAAATTATTTCCCTTTGAAAAATGAAATATGCAAATATATCAAACCAACAAAGTAAAATTGAATTGAAATGATATATATATAAAGTATTCAGATCCATATTATAGTATGTAATTAGGTCCGGAAGAGTTGGGTTACCTAAGATATCTCTATACAAACTTCCAACTCACAATTTGACCTATCCTTTTGCTTTAAATAATTTCATTTTTTTCTTATTTTTTAACCTTTAGGCCAGTAAATTTTGGTATATATAATTTTAATTTACAAATAGAACATGTTCAAAATTCATATTAACTATAGTCATATTTATTATGAATTATCTTTATTTTACCTGTGTTACCTGTAAAATGAATGCGAACAAACATAAAAAAATTTAATCCCCAAATGCGTGCAAATGTAATGCACCCGAAAGTTTGGGTTGTAGGGTTTCTGTCTCATTGACATATATAACCCACATCTCTTTTACTCATATACTGAAAAAAATGCCTTTAGGTACTTGCAACTCTATGAAAGTTTTGATGAAATCCACTGACTAATTTAGGAAGTTTAGCAGGTGAAAAGTTCAGAAAAAGACATTCCTAGACTATATACCAAAATTTACTGGCCTAAAGGTTAAAAAATAAGAAAAAAATGAAATTATTTAAAGCAAAAGGATAGGTCAAATTGTGAGTTGGAAGTTTGTATAGAGATATCTTAGGTAACCCAACTCTTCCGGACCTAATTACATACTATAATATGGATCTGAATACTTTATATATATATCATTTCAATTCAATTTTACTTTGTTGGTTTGATATATTTGCATATTTCATTTTTCAAAGGGAAATAATTTTGCTGACACAACACTCATCTATTTTAAGATAAGGGGCTTTCTCAGGACTTACTACTGATCAATAATAACTTTTGACATAAAAGTAGGGAACAATTGGGGACTTAAACAATAATGTAACCTGCCAACAATGCATCATAATTGGTAAATCAACAATGAGTTAAAAGATTTAATTTGTTTGGCAAAAGCAGCCTTATCAATAATGCCTTTAATATGGAAATTGTGAATTTTATTTATCAACTTTTTCCTAGTTCAAGATCCTTTGTGACATTTAAATAAATATTGATAAATGGAAAATCCTTTACTTAACTTATATCAGCTGTTTAAAAGATAAAATTTCCCTAATCTAAAAATAGAAGTGGGAGAATTATGTCCCTTTACAATCAGAATTTATATGCAAATATCCTTTACCGATTATTTTAAAACTAAAGTTAAGATGAGATATATGAAGCACTTAAAACAATTTACTAGTATGTCAGGTCCGGAAGAGTTGGATTACCCAATATTAAATAAACACTATATCTCCAACTCACCATTAGACCAGGCTCTCATGTTTTTATTTTTAAGTATGATTTAGTGAATTAAAGCATTGATCATTAAAAGCTTCCGTTTAAGTATGGCTGAAGCATATACCCTTGAGTAGGATAAAAAAAAATCTTTGGATTTAAATAAAATTAAATGCATAAATATTAGTCTTTTTTTCTTGACTGTAATAACAGCAATAAATTAATCTTCCTGTATTCAATAAAATACAGTTACATTTCTGATGGTCTTTGATTAAATAACTATACTCAAATCTTATTATATTCTCATTCAAATTTATGCAGTCAGTTTAAAAAAAAAGAAGATAAAACTGATACAGTGGCTCTCAAACACTGTTTTACTCATCTACTGAAATTATTTGTATAAATTTTTTTTTTTAAATTGTATGTTGAAAGAGAAGTACTAATGAATCATTTTATATTCTCATTCAAATTTATGCAGTCTGTTTAAAAAAAAAAGAAGATAAAACTGCTACAGTGGCTCTCAAACACTGTTTTACTCATCTACTGAAATTATTTGTATAAAATTTTTTTTTTTAAATTGTATGTTGAAAGAGAAGTACTAATGAATCATTTTATATTCTCATTCAAATTTATGCAGTCTGTTTAAAAAAAAAAGAAGATAAAACTGCTACAGTGGCTCTCAAACACTGTTTTACTCATCTACTGAAATTATTTGTATAAAATTTTTTTTTTTTAAATTGTATGTTGAAAGAGAAGTACTAATGAATCATTTTATATTCTCATTCAAATTTATGCAGTCTGTTTAAAAAAAAAAGAAGATAAAACTGCTACAGGGTCTCTCAAACACTGTTTTACTCATCTTGAAATTATTTGTATACACTTTTTTTTTTAAAATTGTATGTTGAAAGAGAAGTACTAATGAATCATTTTATATACTCAAATGACATTAGGTAATGACAACTGTATGAATAAATTGCTTCGCTGAGCGCAGAGGTCCAACCCTGAACAGTTGGGGCAAAAATGGACACAATATTCGCGCTTGATACAGGTCTGAATTTGGATTGTAATTAAATATTTGACACATAATAGGTTTCTGACACAGAATAACTGTAGTCAAAGAACTTAGAATTAGTTATATGATTTGAATTTATATTCAATTATTTGCTTTTGTGCAATACACTATGTTGTTGCGAATTGACCCCCTCTCCTTTTTTTGCAAAAGAAAAAAAAATATTTGATATATTAATATATCAATTATATAATATATTAATTCTTTTTAATTTCTGAAATCTGAAATGAGGAAAAAATTGTCCCCCCCCCCACAATTTCTTTTTTACCCCCCACCATTTTTTTTCACCTACCCCCCCCCCCCCCCCCCCTTTTTCAAAAAAAAAATCTTTCCCTCAAGATATGGTCATAATCTCAATTCAAATTTCCAATTGAGTTTGCAACCATAATTACCCATTTAAATACATCATAAAAGTCTTAAAATAGAAAATGACATACATTATCATAAAATTAATATTCCTTAATCAGCATTTTTTAATAGTAACTTCTAAAAATAAATTGACAGCTAATCACCTCAAGATAATACAACATTTCTTTATACGTAATTTAAAAGCAGTGTAAGGGAGGTAATCCAAACATAACATTGTACTTTTAAGTAATTGTCCATTAACCAGGAAACCCTTGTTTTTCCCCCTTTTTTGCCCCTTATTCCTAAACGGTTTGAGCCATAACCCCCCAAAGCCAATCCTAACCATCCCTTTGTGGTATGGAAACTTGTGGTCTAATTTCACAGAGATCCATACACCTTTCCACAAGTTATTGTCTAGAAACTAGAAGAATGCTTATTTGGGCCCCTTTTTGTCCCCTAATCACAAAACTGTTAGGACCATAACCCCCAAAATCAATCCCAACCTTCCTTTTGTGGTTATAAACCTTGTGTTTAAACTTTAAATTTCATAGATTTCTATTTACATATACTAAAGTTATTGTCCGGAAACCAAATGTCTTCAGACAACGACGACGTGATACCAATAAAAGACCGCAAAAATTTTGCATTCGTATAAAAATCTGTTGAAATGCACTTACTGATTTTGGAGGGTAACAGCAAGTAGGAAATGTAGAAAAATGCAAACCAAGACTTTATTCCCCAACAGGAGAAAGGTAAAAAGGAGACAAAAAAAAAAAGACTAAAAAATGAAATTATTCAATGCAAAAAGATAGGTCAAATTTCTGAGCTGGAAGTTTTGTATAGAAATATCTTAGGTAACCCAACTCATCCGGACCTAACATATTAGTAAATCGATCTGAATACATATATATCTATCTGTTCATCTCAACTTCACTTTGTTGGTTTGATATATTTGCATATTAAATTTTTTCAAAGGGAAATAATTTTGCTAATTTACTAT